TTTCAGCGTTGCACCCGTATGCCGCTCAGAGCACAGCAGATGATTGAATTACTCTAATAAAATAGCTTTTTTTAAATGACAGATTAGAGAACTGAGCTTCGCTAGGTGATTTTTAGCGGCTTCTTGCAAATACCTCATCGTCATCGGAATACTGAGATGTTTGCAAAAGCGTTTGTGTGAATTCTAACACCTTTATCAAGGGATCTGACAGGTAACGTTATTCAACCAGTTTGAGTTGAAATGAAAGAAATATTCTTGCAAAGTGATTCTGATTCAGCTTTGAGTAAATCAACTGTTTAGAGTAGACAGCTCTGCTTCGTGCACATTATTTCAGCAAATTGTAACAAATAACGTCATACTTAATATTGAATAATATATGTGCCTCATGTGGTGTTTATTATGTTATGACAAGATACTGTGTGCCTTTTACTCATTCAAGATCATCTACTGTATCTTCACATAAAGTGCCTTACAAAATTATGGGCATGTTTCTGTGTGATTTCATATCCTTTTATGATATCTTGATGAAACCACATTTTCCCTTTTAAAAGATCTGTCAATACATAGGAATATTGAGGGTTCTAAACTCAAGATAAATGTTTAGTTGTTAAAAGAGACAAGATAAGGTCAATAAATACTTTAAGTTGGAGTTCTCCCATGGTTTTCAGATATCAATTGTGAGTTTTTTTATTATTTTTATTTTGATGCCTTGTCATTGCGGTCCTTTCTTTCCATACAGGAGGAAGCTGAGAGCAGATATCTCTGCTGCTTTCCCTTCTCTGTCAGCTGAGGATCTAAATGAGCTGATCCCAAATAAAGACGAGCTGAATATTGGGAAGATTTACGCACATAAGGGAGATGCAGTCACTCTGTACATTCGCCATAAAAATCCCATATTCTTTCAGCTGGAGAAACAGGTGAGTCTGCAGGTAACCCTCAGTTTTTGTTCATGATGATGACATTTATTTGAATAATAAAATTGTGTGTGTTGTTCTCAGTGTACACACTGTGGCAATATCCCACCATGTTACCGGTATTCGTCACGTGGCCGCTGTGCTCACCGCATTTCACTCTTACAGATAATTCATATTAGACTTAAAATCTCGAGTCATGTGAAACTAAAATGATACACAACTGGACACAGATTTGTAACAACTTCAAAAATTGTGAACTGGATTTGGCAGTTTTTACTAATCAGCATCAGTGATGCTGAATATCTAGCACTTTGAATTATGTTGAGCTTAGCGGTGCATGTGAACAACAGAACGTTGAGTCTGTTTTATGCAATTTCCTGAACCTATTCTCTTCTCTTCTTGTCATTTTTTTTCTCTGTCTACGATTGTATAAACAAAAATGCCTAATATATAATTTAAAATTTAAAAAGGCCAAAAAATTAATTGAATCTTATAAAGCCTACTGAATCATATTTAATGTGCAAAGTTCTAAGGCCTCCAAATTATCAACATGAATGAAACTTTGCTGAAAAGCCTGTTGCATGCAGTCTACTACATGGCCTTCTGTCATCTGATTGATAGTTTATTCTTTTTTTAGCAAATAAAATGTCCCCTTTCAGGATGTGTCTTTTTTTCTGTGAAATCTTACTGAGCATGTTTACATGCACACCCATATGCCGATAACTACCAAAAAACAGCTTTTTGTTTTTTTTCTTTCTAATCTAATCATCCATATGTCCAAATCTGAGTATTGCATTTGTTATGTGAGATGTAATTTTAAATAAAGCATTAAAAACTACAGAGTATTTAAAAATGTCAGCAGGAAACTGTTATGGCATTCTCCTCTCGCATGTGCAGATTTTCTACAATTGTACCACTTTGACTTTGGCTGCACAACATGACAACACATTTTTACATATTCTTGGGTCAAAAAAGTGTCAGTGTGTACAATACATTTCCTTTTCCCTCTGGCAAAATGTTCGCTCTAGTTAAATGCTCTTCAATGCACAAAACGGACGCTTTCCTGTCACACAGTCAGACACGTACACTTGAATAAGCTGAGAGAACGTGTTTATGGTGTTTATATGATGAAATTTTAACACATTTACGTGAGCAGCTTAAGCATTATCGGTTTATAAAAGTCCATGTAAATGCGCTCAATTATGTTGCACAAAAAATGTTGTACTATTTTATGTAACTGGCAATATAACTTTTGTAGCTAAAAGTACTCTGTATAAGTCTTCACTATTAAAAAATGCTTATAAATTAAGTTCTCTTATGGGTAACATGCATAACAAATGTCTGTGTGGTGTTGAAGGGCACCTGTGGCTATTGGCACAGCAGCTGTGTCGAGCGCTGAGATGAGGAACAGTGGAATGAAGGGGAAAGGAGTGAATATTTTACACACATACATGGACCAGCTATGGTGAGCTTTGCATTGCAACATTATTCTGTCTTTACTTTCATTTAGGCTTCATTCCCGCCTCTTTATACATCGCATTCACTTTCTACAGACATCTTCCTCAAATTCTCCACAGGGCATTTGGTGATAAGTCACATCCTCCAGTTATATCGGTCACAAACTCTCCAGCACAGGTGGAGGGAGAAATGGAGGGAGAGGAATGCGAGGAGGAAGAGCAGGAGGTGCAGGACAGCTCTGATCCAGCTCCAGTGGAAACATCTTGTCAGAGCATGCAGGAGCTGAGGCTGGATGAACATGAGCTGTTGAAGGAGGAAGAACCGGTTTAGGATAAAGAGGAAGAAAACATTGATGGAGAAGACGGAGACTCTACAGGGTGAAATGTCTGACTTCCTGTCACATGTCCATTTTGTAGCTGTTTGCTGTATGTTGACTTTTATGTCTGTCTCATTACAGAGCAGATGGATGAGTTACTGCTGCAGTGTTTCCTCCATGCACTTAAGACTAAAGTCAAAAAGTCAGAGCTTCCACTACTGACTAGCACCTTCAAGCGCAACCACATGGTGTCCTGCTGGTAATATCTCCTCGATTATTACCTTTATACCTCTAAACCTCTGTCATCTTACCTGTTTTTTGGGAACACTATGGTCATTTTTATTTAAATAAATTGATGCTTTAAAAAATGCCATCAAAATGTCAAAATAATAAATGACAGTGAGAACATTTATAGTGTTTATAATGTAACAAAAGATAACTCTTTCCCCCACAGTCCTAAAGGAAAGTACCTAGATATCAAGAAAATCCAGTTATAAAAAGGTACTAACTGTTTACAGATTGTGAGATTTTAGTCCATGCCAGTGTAGCCTTTCTATTTCTGTTTTAGTTGGTCACAACGTTTCTTTCTTTCTTCCATTCCAAGAATCACAGTCTGATTCAGGTGAAGGAGCTGAGTAAAGGTGTGGAGAGCATTGTGGAAGTTGACTGGAGAAACCCTGAGTATGCAGTCAGACCATTTCACTATTAACATCTCATTCATAAACTTTTAATATAAGAACACATAATAAAGAAAATATCTGTCGCATTTTTTCTTAAACAACTTGCACTACTTTTTCAGGTTATGTTCTTTCAGCATACCAGAGGATTTTGAGCCGGAGAAAGAGTCTGAGGAGGGGGGTGGAGCTTACCCATACCAGCCCCCTGAAATCACACCACTATATGGGGTTACTGCATGCCTGGAGCCTCTCTTTCAGGATGCCCAGAAAAAGTTAATGAGTGGAAACATTTTGTTGTATATTTAAGTGTATTATTGAGAGTGCTTTGAGCATGTGACTTTGTGTTTCAGAAAGGGGACACCTCTAAAGGCCAGTGAGGTGAGGAATATCATCACAGAATATGTGAAGAAAAATGAACTTGTCCATGAAACCAATAAAAAGTGAGTTTATAATTACATTAGTACACTTTTTATTCACACTTTCATTTTTTCTATTTATTATGTTCTTATTCTCACCAATGCTGCATTTGTATAAAAAATGCAGGGACAAGTGTGTTACGTGTTATAAAGTGTTATACGTGTGTTATAACATTATTTTATACATTGCAATTTAACACAACAGTTTTTTATTTGAATATATTTTAAAATGTAATTTATTCCTGTGATGCAAAGCTGAATTTTCAGCATCATTGATGCTTTAAAAAATGCCATCAAAATGTCAAAATAATAAATGACAGTGAGAACATTTATAGTGTTTATAATGTAACAAAAGATAACTCTTTCCCCCACAGTCCTAAAGGAAAGTACCTAGATATCAAGAAAATCCAGTTATAAAAAGGTACTAACTGTTTACAGATTGTGAGATTTTAGTCCATGCCAGTGTAGCCTTTCTATTTCTGTTTTAGTTGGTCACAACGTTTCTTTCTTTCTTCCATTCCAAGAATCACAGTCTGATTCAGGTGAAGGAGCTGAGTAAAGGTGTGGAGAGCATTGTGGACGTGGACTGGAGAAACCCTGTGTATGCAGTCGCACCATTTCATTATTAACATCTCATTCATAAATGTTTAATGCAATTTAAATTGTCAGAACACATAATAATAAAATAAATATCACTGTTTTGCTTGTTGATATGGACTATGTCCAGCAAGTGTTTTTGGTTTTGAGGGAAGCTGTTTTTTTTATTTTTTTGCACTACTTTTTCAGGTTGTGTTCTTTCAGCATACCAG